TAAATCTATCTCTAACTAAAGCAATGGTTCTCAGCCTTCCTAATGCTGTGACCCTCTAACACAGCATGTTGTGGTGACCCCCAACCATAAAGTTATTTTTATCACTAGTCCATAACTGTGGTTCTGCTGTTATGAATCATAATGTAAATATTTTTGGAGATAGAGGTTTGTCAAAGGGTCACAACCCACAGTTTGAAAAACACTGCTCTAAAGCATCTACTACTCTCTCTGACCTCTGGGGGTTCCTTCACACACATGTCCATACTCACACATATACATAAATAAATGTAAAAAAATCAAAAATTTGTTACAACTATACACAATTAGATATGTAAAAATACTTTTCTAAATGTTAGGTTGAATATGTTGAGGTTAGGGACACTGAAGAAAGAAATAGGAAGCCTTGCTTCTGGACATGAGGTTGCCAAGTTGATCTCAGGAGGAAAGCCAAGCTGATCTTGACGGTCTCAGACTGGCATGTGTGAAGCACACCCCACCCGGGAGTCACACACAGGCACTGCTGTCCTTTCACATGTCCTTGCACTGTTCTAGTTAATTTTATGTCAAGCTGACACAGGCTAGAATCATCGGAGAGGAGGGAACCAAAACTGAGGAAATACCTCAATAAGACTGACTGCAGGCAAGCCTGTAGGGCATTTTCTCGATTAGTGATCAGTGGGTCAGGGCCCATCCCACTGTGGGGCCCTGGGTTAGTGGCCCTGGATTCTATAAGAAAGCAGGCTGAGCAAGCCATGGGGAGCCAGCCAGTGAGCAAATCCCCTCTATGGTCTCTGCATCAGCTCCTGCCTCCAGGTCCCTGCCCTGTTTGAGTTCCTGTCCTGACTTCCTCTGATGGTGAACAATAATATGAAGTGTAAGCCAGGTAAACCCTTTCCTCTCTGTTGCAGCTTGGGTGTGTGGGTTCACGAATACCCGTGGAAAGAAGACTCAGAGGCACCTTAAGAATGAATCTAGTCTTTCGCAGCTGCAGGGAGATCCAGCCTCTAAGGACTGAAGCACTTTTCCCTTCATCCAGGGCATTTTTATTTTTCTCAATATTTACACTTTAACCAGTTGATTTCCATATGTTCAAAACAACCTGAAAGAAGCTCCCAAAATACAATGCCAAGTGCAAATTTCTCGATTCATCAGGTGCCACAGTTTTCAGGGTTTTCCCAAACCAAGCTTCGAATAGGCTTTGTGTCCTTAGAAAACTCTCAGACAGGATTCCCATAGGATGGCAAGAGAAACAAAGGATAGCTGAGAAACAAAAGATGAAGTAAGGCTAGGTGCTAGCACTCTGGAGCCAGGCCAGCTGCAGCCCAGTGGGAATTCTCCCCTCACCTCTCCAATCTGCTCATTGGTGTTGGTGTTCCATCACAGCCATACTCTCCCACTAAGTCATGCACCCAATGCATCTAACTGCAACAGACTAAATCTTAGTTATGAACGGCTTCGAAAACCTTCCACCTTCCCAGGGAAGAGAACACCCCAGGCAAACCAACAGACAAGGGAATAATCAACTTAAACAACAGGAGCATCTTGGTATCTGTGTCTCTTGGTGGTTGAATGCCCATTTGTGACTAAATAAACTTGAAACTGCCATTAAGCATTTCCACTCTCAGAAACTAATGCATTTATCCACAAATGCCAAGATAAAAGGTCTGAGTCCTCAAAAGACCTGCTGCCATTGTAATATCATTATAGCCCTGTTTGTGAAGGTCACAGGAGAAAATATCCTAAAAGAAAGACCTATTCCAGTGTGACTTAAAAAAAAAAAAGTGCTACCTACCTTGTACATATGCTTCAAAACTTCTTAACGATCCACAGGACTGGAGAGATGGTTAAGTGGGTCCTCACGTGTACCTGGTGGCTCGCCATCTATGACTCCAGTTCAAAGGCTTCCAACACCATCCCGTATGCATGTGGTGCATCAATACATTCATGCACACACACATACTAATACATACACACACACACACACACACACACACACACACACACACACACACACACACATTTATATTGATTCTATATCTGCATGGAATCCACAAAGCAGAACTATGCTGCTCCCTCCCTGCCCTGGACTGTATGCTTTTCTTACGTTTGCTACAGGAACTTCTATGCAAACTGTCCAGGGACTGACAGATACTCCTGAAACATCTTGATGAAATAGTTGATTAAGTTCATGCAAGATTGCTTGAGACAACATCTCATTATAGCTAATGCCAATGTGGTACTCACTCTGTAGCCAGGCTGACCTTGATTGACCTCATGGTGATCCCCTGACCTCAGCCTCCCCCTTGGGATGATAGGCATAAATTACTGTACCTGGTTAATAATGGGATCTTTTTTTGTTCTGCCTTTTGTTTCTTGAGACATGGTTTCTTTGTGTAAGAGCCCTGGCTGTCCTGGAACTCATTCTGCAGACCAGGCTGGCCTTGATCTAACAGATCTGCCTGCCTCTGCCTTCTCAGTGCTGGGGTTAAAGGCCTGTACAACCACTCACAACTATAATGGGATCTTTTAAGGCTGCGTTGAACTTTGCTAACAATTCTTCCTACTATTCCCTTAGAAGCTGAAACCAACAGTTCCTTACTTGAAATGAGTAATACCTACCCTGTAGTTTTTTTTTTGTTTTTTTTTTTAAGGGGTTGGGGGTGTTGCTGGGTATACTGACTGGCACATGCCTTTAATCCCAGCATTGAGGCTAGCTAGGAGTACATATTGAGGAGCTATTTCACAATATAGAAAGTAAGTAAGAAAGGAGAAAGTTTTCTTTTTTCTTTTTTTGGTTTTGCGAGACAGGGTGTCTTTGTGTAGCTTTGCGCCTTTCCTGGAGCTCACTTGGTAGCCCAGGCTGGCCTCGAACTAACAGAGATCCACCTGGCTTTGCCTCCCAAGTGCTGGGATTAAAGGCATGCACCACTACTACCTGGCTTGGAAAAAGTTTTCTTGAGGCCTATTTGTTAACCTGAATTCTGTCACAAGGACTCACTTACACACATAGGGATTCACACCACTGTGATCTACTTTGTTTTTGAAATTGATTCCAAAACGTGAAGGCGTTCCCACACTTTGTACATGTGTAAGTTGCTGGGTTTTTTCCCTAGTGTGAATTCATTTCTGCATTTGAAGGTAACTAAGAAAGGAAAAGGGGAGACACATAAAGCTGAGGCTGGGAAGACCCAAAGCAGTAGGATCCAAAAAGAGAAAGGTATTGCAGGCCTCCTCCCCATTTTTGGCATACAAACCATACATAGCACTTTAAATCATATATACAATTTTGCATAATTACACACACATGTATATATGTTTTTCAAGACAGGATTTCTCTGTGTAGCCCAGGCTGTCCTGAAACTCACTTTGAAAATCAGGTTGGTCTTGAACTCACACTGATCCACATGCTTCTGCCTCCTGAGTGTTGGGACTAAAGGCATGTGCCACTATGCCTGGCTTTATTGCTTATATCAAAAAAATAAACTGTTTCATGGCATGTGATAGGACTCAACACATGTGACCTGTAAGAAGAGACCACACCAGCTTTGTCTTGGGGGACTTCATTTCACCCCACAGCACTGCAGTTTCCTCAGCCCTCAGGATGCAAGGCTGCTCCCAAGGGCAGAGTTATTTGGACTGTGATGCCTGTACTTGACCTGGGAATGGGGGCTCCAACAGCAGCTTCACCCATGAGCACAGCCCTATATGGACAGTTCGGTCACTCAGTGCATCCAACACACACACACACACACACACACACACACACACACACAAACACACACACAGACATACACACACACGCACACGCATACGCACACACAAATAAAAGTAATGATAAAAATGTATACCAAAGCCTGTGAAGTTAAATGATTAACAATGGGCAAAAAATCTTTTAAACAGTCAATTATTAAAGTATTGTGTACCTGGAGATGCAAATATAAAATAGTACCTGCAGGGGTTCTGTGGTGGAAACCACAGCACACAGATGAATGAGGGCCAAGATCTTAACAAATGAATCAACATACTAGGTTCACCAAAGTGAACTCTTGGTTCTTCTTCAAGAGGGCATACCACCCACTAAACAATATAAAGTCTTGACATATACATTGTGGATGAATCTTAAATACAATACACTGAGGAAAAGACCTAGGCTCTAAGGCTGTGTCCTATAGAAACCACCTTATATAATCAGGCAAAAGTGTAATTTAGGAGCTAGAGAGATTGCCGAACAGTTAAGGGTATACTGTTCTTACCAGTCTTACAGAGGACTGGACTTCAGTTCCCAGCAACCTGTGTTGGGAAATTCATAACTGCATGTAACTCCAGCTCCAGGGTATCCAGCACTTCTGGCCTTTACAGGTACCTTCAGACACATACCCACAAGCAGACACATAATTTTAAAACATAATAAAATCTAAAGTGTCCTCCTACATAGTCCTTGATAACCATGAACTCACTCTGTATCAAGGATTGGCCTTGAACTTGAAATCCTCCTGCCTCTTCCCTCAGAGTGCCAAGATTATAGCCATGAACTATCACTCCCAGATACATTTGAAAACTTAAATTACCAAGAAGCTATGTCTAATTGACAGCCACTTGCTAGGGAAAAATTAGTTTTCCCCAACAGAGTTGCACTGGGTAGACAAACCATGTAGACCAATGCCGTGCAATAGATGGCCAAACAGAACAAACTCAATGATCATTCTAGAGATTTGTCTTGTATTGCTTAGGATCATTTTTATCTTACTGGTCTTTTACATCTATTATATGCTTTCAAATCTTAGGTTTTGATGCATATTGCTTGAGTCTGTGTGTGTCTGTTTGTGCATATGTTTCTTGTTACTTTTTGTTTGTTTTGCTTTATTCTAGTTTGTTTTATTCGGCTGCTTGTTTTCTACACAGAGAGAGAAGGAAGGTGAGATGTTGGATAAGGAGATGAAGAAAGGGAAGGGGAAAACATGATCAGAATATAATGCATGAAAAATTTATTTTATTTTCTTTTTTTTTTGAAAAATTTATTTTCAATAAAAAATAAAATCAGTAAAATATTTAAAAATCTAAATGTAATATTAGGTTGGAGCAAAAGGTGACTACATTTACATATTTTCGTGAGTAGACTAGACAAGGATAAAGAGAAAAGGTGTTTGCTTAAAATGGAGTAATGCGCAAGTGAAGAATAACTGTTTTTCTGTGTATTATTTTATATTCCCTGTCAAAATACTACTTAACCATGTTATGATAGAAGACAGGAAGTCTGTAGTGAGCTTGAGGCCAGCCGAGGCTACATAATAAGTATCAAGGTAGCTAACAGTGGCTTCTAAGCTAGAGCCTGCTTCAAAGAGGCAGGAGGTGGAGCTGGAGAGATGGCGCAGTGGTAAGGAGCACAGGCTGAAGCTTAGAAGACCTGGGCTTAATTTCTGGCACTGCAACATAGAGGCTCAAAACTATCTGTAACTCCAGCCCGGGGGTCCAGTGCCCTCTTCTGGCCTCATCAGGCATCAGGCACATATGTGCAGCACAGACAAAGATGCAGGCAAAATACCCACTCATGAAATAAATCTTTAAAAGTTAGCAAATATATACACACACACACTAACACACCCAGAAAGGAAGGAAGGGAACATAGACTCAGTGGGTGAAATTGTCTGATTAAAATCAAATATCTCTTAATGAAATTTGTTTCCCAAACGTTGCTATTTCTTAATTTTTGAGTTGAACCAAGAAATGTTCCCACATACTTTCCAATGTCAGGAGTTCTTTCAATACATTCTTTAAAGTGCTACCAATGTGAAAATGGAGACGCCACAAATTAGGCTACCCTTGGTGAGTCCTTTCATGTTTATAAAAGAACTTGGGATGACAAAGATTTCTAAGATTCCTTATAAATGAAGGGTTTATCTCCAAAATGACTACTATAATGTCTTTTGCATTGTGTGCATAAGGTTTCTCTCCAGTGTGAGCTATTTCATATCTTCTCCACAATGACAAGAATACAGACGACTTTATCATGTTACTTGCAGCTTTTCTCCAAAAGGCTTTTGTCCTGTGTCTGCTTCCATGTATTTGAAGGGATCTTCTAGTACTAACAGCTACATTGATTCAGAAGAATAACTTCTCTCTATTAAGACTTCTTTGACATTCCCCCACAATACTAGCATAAGCTGTTTCAGTCTTCTGTGGTTTGATTTCTGTGAGACCTAACAAAGAGGAGGCATTTTCACGTTACTTACAAACACCCTTATTAGTTCTACTATGAATTAATGTCAAATGAGATATCTTCAAATAGCCTCTCCCAAATGTCTTACATTCATAGGGTCTGTTGCTGCTGTGGATTCCTTCACATACTTGAGCCTCAAATAAATGACTATAGGCTTTCCCACATTGCTTACATTCATAGGATTTTTCTACAGTAAGAGTTATTTTCTGTTTTCAAAGAGAATTGTCAGAGCTGAAAGTTTTCCCACATTGCAAACACACGTAGGGTTTCTCTCCATAGTGATTCGTTTCATGGCTCCAAAATGGAGGAAGAACAAGCAAAAGCCTTCACACACTGCTCACACTTGTAGGTTTTTCTCTCCAGTATGCATTCTATTCTGGAATTGAAAGTTTCCCCACATGGCTTCCATACATAGGTTCTCTATGAAGTGTGAATTTTTTCATGTCTTTTATGGTTACCAAAATGAGCAAAAGTTTTCCCACAGTGTTTACACTCATAGGGCTTCTCACCAGTGTGAATTCTTTCATGTGTTTTTAGAGTACCGGAACAAGTGAAGTTTTTGCCACATTGCTTACAAACATAGGGATTCACACCACTGTGAGTTACTTTATGTTTTTGAAATTGATTCCAGAATGAGAAGGCACTCCCACACTGCTTACATACATAACGTTTTTCCCCAGTATGATTTTGTTCATGTATATGAAGGTAACGAGAAGCAGTGAAGGCTTTCCCACATTGCTTACATACATAGGGTTTCTCTCCAGTGTGACTCCTTCTATGAATTTGAAAGTAAACAGAATGAAGAAAAGTTTTCCCACACTGTTCACACTCATAGGGTTTCTCACCACTGTGAATTCTTGCATGTCTTCGAAGGCAAGCAGAACGAGAAAACGTTTTCCCACAATGATTGCACAGAAAAGCCTTCTCACAATTCGGATTCATCTTATGTCTTGAAAGGTTACCTAACCGAGCAAAGCCTTTCCCACACAGTTCACACACATAGGGCTTCTTAGCACTGTGAATTTTTTCGTGACTTCGTAAAAGACTGGGATGGGTGAAGTCTTTCCCACATTGCTTGCAAATGTAAGATTTTTTTGCATGGTCATGCTCTTCATTCCTTTGACCAGATTGGCGATTGTAGTCCTTATTTTTAGGTTTCTTTCCAGTGTGAGCACTTTTATGCATCTGAAGGGTCAGAGAACGGGAGCTGCCCCCAAACTCCTTATGTTTATACAACTTCCGTCCATTTTCCTGGTCTTCATGAGGTTTGGGTCCTGTTTGATGGTTCAGGGGTGCACCTAGAGATGACTGGCCAATGCTTCCTTCTCCACACACATGTTTATCACATGTGGTAAGTCCTGGACAAGATTTCAGGTTCATAGAATGCTTTGGAATACAGCTGAAGATTTTTGCATACTGACGACTTTCTTTATACTCACAGAATTTCTCTACCAATTGGCTGTTGCAAAACAAGTGAACAGTACATGATTAATACTTTGTCTATTAATGACTGAACAAAAGAAATGTTGGTTTCATGCTGGGAAAAGTTTATAAAATGTTTGGACTGCATGCTCTCCAAGATGATTGAGGAGAGTTACAATAGAAACAATGATATTCATGTATGGTGGAGTATGTCTCTTTGAGAACATTAAATATTCATAAGCATTTCAACCCAAATTTAAATTAAAATCTTATGCACATTTTGGATGTTTGGATGTTCAATGGCATCAATCAAAATCATGATTTTGTTTTTTTCAAAACAGGGTTTCACTGTGTAGCCCTGACTTCCCTGGTATTAACTCTGTAGACAAGGCTTGCCTCAAACTCATAGAGATCTACTTGTTTCTTCCTTGAGAGTCCTGGGATTAAGGGCATGCACCACCACAACCCAGACAATCTTCTATTTTTAAATGCATGTATATCCATGACATAAAGTGACAGTACAAATCAGCAAATTCTATCTTCTTTTCATTCCCAACTTGTCCCCATGGCGTGTAGATAAATCAACTGCATTAAGTTTCAAAAATGTGTCCATTTACTGTGTTTGTAAGTGTGCATGTGTGCTATGGTATGTGAGAGGAGCTCAGGATAGCTTTCAGGAGTACTGTGTCCTTCCATGTCAGTGAAGCAGGGTATCTCTTAGAAGTACAGGGATTATAGAGATGTGTTGTTTTGTGTGGGCTCTGGGAATTAAATTCAGGCCATTATGATTGTACTGCCAGCCCTTAATAACAACTAGGCAATCTTTTGGTCCCCCTGTATAACATTAGAAATGATGAGGTGTGCTCTGGTTAGTTTTCTGTCAACTTGGCACAATGTAGAATCATCTTGGAAGAGAAATCTCAGCTAAGAAAATTTCTTCATTAGATCATATTTAGGCAAATCTGTGGGGGCATTTTTGTAATCAATCATCAATGTGGGACAGATTAGCCAACTGGAGGTTGTATTGCCCCCAGGCACCAGGTGGTGCTGATTATATAAAAATATATAATTCCCTTATTTTTTGTCTGAGCAAGCCCTGGAGAGTAAAGTAAGCAGTTTCCTCCATGGGTCTCTGTCTCAGTTCCTGTCTCTGGGCCCCTGCCCTGCCTTGAGTTCCTGCTTTGGCTTCCCTTAATTGTGGACTATGACCAGGCCATGTAAGCTGAGTAACCCTTCCCTCTGTCTACATAGGAGAAGGTGGAGCCTCAGTTATAGTGGACACCACAGCATGCTGGCAATAGCACTAGGATGGAAGCACCCAGAACAGTAGCCAATGTGGTATGGTATTGGCCTGAGAGTAGAAGATAATCTGTGTGCTGCTGGCGGCAGAGCTGGGGAAGTGGATACAAGACCTTGGGAGCCCAGGAGATGGTGTGTCGATTTCAGAGATGGGACACTGAATTACTGATACTGAAGGAGGCTGGCTGGTTTTGCTTTGCTTTGATTGTGACTATGTACTGCTGCTTGCCTTTTAGAGTAAGAAATGATGTAACTTTTTTTTAATATTGCAGGGGCCCACATGTTGGATATTTTCAACATTTTAAAGACACATTTGGTTTTGAAGGAGAACTTACACTTACAAATGTTGAAATTTTGTAAGACACTTTCTTATGTTTTAAATTATATTTAGATATCAACATGACATCTTGGGGACAAAGAAATAGGAAAGATTGTGGTTTAATAGTGATTTGTTTGTGTGTCAAGTTGACAAGGGGTCAATTGTTTTGGTTAGTATTTTGTAAGCTTAATGAAATATAGAGAAATATGAGTTAACTTCAGTTGAGAAAATGCCCCCTACCAGATTGGCTTATAGGGAAGCCTATGAAGATTTTCTTAATGGATCTGGAAGCATCCAGCCTACAGAGCCATTCTGAGATTGGTGGTCATGTGATATATAAGAAAGCAAACTGAGCAAGCCAAGGGGAGCAAGACAGTAAATAGAATACCTCTACAACCTCTGTCTTCTATTCATATCTATAGGCCCCTGTTGGAGTTCATATCCTGACTTCTCTTGATCATGGACTGCTAACTATAAGGTGTAATTAATCCTTTCATCCCCATGTTCCTTTGGCTTATGGTCATCAGCACAGCAATACAAAGCCAAACAAAGACATTCTGTATGGCTTAAAGTTTGTATATATGAACTATGAAAACACATGACATTCTAGTTGTTTTCAATATTACAATATTCAGCATCTTCTAGTGTTGGTGTTTATGACACAAATTTTGGAAGAAATTTTCTTGAGATGAAATTAGTCTGACCATAGATATCAAATGCATCTTTTACTTCTCAGTAAAATGTTCTATTGTATCACCACTTGGGAATATCATTATCTTTTAGGAAACAAATTACCTTAGTTTTCTCCAGAGATTTTCGTATTCATTTAAAACCTTCTGTTTGCCTGACTTCTTTCCTAAAATGCAGACCCAGAGAAATTACCAATTATTAATTATAGAGAAAATATTGGATGCCAGTTAGATTGAGGTTTAAGTGATCATATCTGATATATGCACCCCATTTCCGTTCCCATATTCCATTTCATACATCAACACTGATAAGCTAAAAACACTGTCCTGTGATGGGCTAGCAAAGGCAATGCTCACGTGTACCTATAGCAGCCAGGTTCCTCAAGGTTTCCTGCATCACATCTTTGTACAGCTTCTTCTGGGATGGATCCAGCAGAGCCCACTCCTCCTTGGTGAACTTCACAACCACATCCTCAAAGCTCACTGACTCCTAAAAGCACACACATATATTTCCAGGAAAGTTAGCCTCATGGTACTGGAGATGTACACAGAATTAATAAGAAGTTGACATGACACTATGTTCCACAAGTTGTCTTCGTCATTGTAGGGAAAAGCGGCTGGCTAAAGAAACCCACACTGACCCTGGAGCCCAGAACTAGGGAAAGATGGCTCAGATCAGGGCAGAAAGAAACACAGTTTGGCTCAGTCAGATCAGAGCCATCTCTCTGCCCCTGGCCAACTGACTTGTGAAACCAGCCAGTCACAGAGCAGGATAGTAAAACCCTGGGCCAGGGGTTGACTCCACCCACAAGACTTCCTTTGTAAAGCACCCTGCATAGTCAGAAAAAAAGGCAGTTCTCTCCACCCTGGTAGAGGCAGCTACTCTCCTGGACTCCTCCTTCCCAAATAAATCTCTTCCTCAATGGCATAGAGAAGATCCTTGCTGAAATGTCCCCCAGTGGACAAAACAAGAGAGAGAGCTGAGAGAGCAGGGCAAGGAGGAGCTGAACAGCAGATCTTTGCTCAGACGTCCCTCAGTGGACAGAGTAACACAGAGAATAACTCCAGAAAACAGTGTTACTATAAGTAACACTATAAGTAACTATAAGTAACACTGTTTTCTGGAGCTGGAGGAGATTGCTACTTTTCTGCAGGGGTTTCCCCTTTCACAGAGTGAAGCAAAAGAAGCAACATCTTAGGCTGGAGAAGCAGAGCTCTGCTAGGAAATCCCCTTAAGTGGGGGCTGAGCAAAGCTCAGCTGTAGAGGCTCTCCAGGGGAAGAGCAGGATTGCTGTATCCTGCGGGGAGACCATCCCCCATCACACCAGGTATACCTTGACTTTCCTGAAGAGTCAGGATACCCTTCCCTGCTGAAGCAGTTCCAGGCCTGACTCTTCTAAGAAGTCAGAAAAATTTCCCTTCCAGGGTTGGGCTGTTTCTTTGCAGTTCCAGCTGTCAGCGCTGTGCTGAACAGCTCTAGGGGTTCGTGACACCTTCAGGGCAGAGCTGTTGTTCTGAGCAGCTGGAGGTGTCTGGGATACCTCGCCCTCCAGGGCTGAACTGTCTCCTTGCAGTTTCAGCCATCACAGCTGTGCTACACAGCTCAAGGTGTTGCCTGACTCCCCAGTTAGTCAGGACCCCAAACCCACAGAGATGCAAAACTCATGTTCTGCAACCAGTTTACCTACATTTTTGGTGCTGGAACCTGGGGTACCAAACCCAGAGTTTTTGCAATCAGTTTACTAACATTTTTGGTGCAATTTACTAACATCTATGGTGCCAAAACCCAGGACACCAAACTCACAGAGTTGCAAAACATGCAGTTTACCTACAGTCATCACACTCTACTCCTCATACAGACGAAGATTCCCCCAAACACAAATGCTAAAAGTAAACTGGAGCTTTCTGGGAAGGAAACATCAAGATAGCATGAGCTCTTGAGCACATCACTGTGCTAATTTCTCTTTCTGCACTGCGTCTTTCTAACAACTTTCATCACAAATTCTGATGGTTTAATATCCTCCAGGGAGTCAATATCAGCAATCCTTAGAATGTGTGTGCTTAGAAATGCTGGACAAAATAGTTCTCCTGGTATCTGGGAACCGAGATCTCCAATGACTCCTTCCCCCCATAGCTGCAAAGAACAGGGTAGATTTCTCAGACAGTTGATGACAACTATACCCCAAGTTAAAAATATCATTACCTGTTTCCCCTAAGAATCTTAGCAATAGTTTCACATGGTCATCAGAGGGATGCTATCTGGCTAGAACCCAACATATTCTCTAGATGATGATTCTGTATCATCTGGTTTGGTAGACAGTATTTGTACACCTTTCTAAAACCTTGATTTAATGTGTATTGTGTGGAGAATGTGAGGATGCCACAGTGCTCTAGTGAAAATCAGCAACAGCTTGTGGGAGTTGGTCCTTTCTTTCTAACTTAGCAAGAGTCCTAGAGATTGACTTCCGACCATGAGGGTTACATAGCAAGTGCCTTTACCTGCTGAGCCATCTCAGCAGGCCTCTACTTAATACTTCTTACAAATTGTTAGGAGCCTGAACAGATGTTCTGTGACTGCACTAAAGGCCAGTATTACAAGGTTTATAGCTGGATTCTTTGGTCCGGTCCTTAGTCAAACATCAAACAGGACTCATGACAAGCAATTCATTTTATTTTTGTCCTATTTTGCTTTCCATTGCTATATCATCATGACCAAATGCAACTTGGGCAGGAAAGTGATCATATGTAAAATATGTACATATACATATAAAGGTCACAGTCAATAATTGGGCAAGCCAAAGCAGGAGACTCAAGGAAAGAACATGCAGGAAAGAACTGAGGCAGAGAGCAGAGAAGAGCCCTGTACAAGCCCAGGCCCACATAACCTGGCATGGCAACACCCACATTGGAGTAGGCCCTCCCACATTAATTAGCAATCAAGGAAATGCCCTAAAGGCATGCACACAGGACAGTTTAGTGAACCAGTTTATCAGCTGAGATTCTCTCTTTTCAAGTGTGTCATCACACTGGCCCATCACACCATTTTTATTTGAGAAAGTCACCGAATAATAAAACAATCAAAGATGGCGCATGATCTTAGACAAAGTTCTAATTCACCAACATGTCACCTCTATAATTTCTAAAACACGCTTTAAAGTAAAACACTTGACCAAAGCTATTAACTGCAACAAATGTCTATAATAAATGTCCAAAACCAGTCCCCTCCACAGGGCACTATGCTCCCTCCCAGAAGGCACAGGTTGTCAACTAAGGCAACAACAGATTTCATTCTGACTGGACTTAAGCCCCATTCCACATGAGGAAAAACATGTCTGTTCCTGTAAATCTACTGAAAGCTGGAAAGGTCACAGGCCTGAGGAGTAAATCTGTCTTACTGTATGATAACACTTTCAAAATGCCTATCTCTATGGTCACAAGTGCCACACTTATCCTCATGGGAGATGTTTCTGTGTGCAGTGAACATTGCCTAATGCAGGAACCCACAACTTGTCAACGTGAAGTGAAGAACCGTGTGTGGAGCGCTGGGGCATGAGTGGGATATCTACACCACGCCTCCATTCCCCCACCCTAGTCCCCCAGGCTCAGGGAACATTGAGGAAGAAGGGGCAGAAGGACTGCAAAAGCCAGTGTGCGTAGTAAAACTGTCTGCTGGACACTACAGGACTACAGCATAAAACAACAGCACTTCTGTTTGTCTGCACAGGATCAAGGCAGTCAACATTCCAGCCTGGATGGGGGAGGGGTTGGAATAACCGACCCCCACACCATTAACTGAGGAGCTACTCACTGTTAATGGCTGCTAGGAAAGGAAGAGTCAGTTTGCTTTAAAGGTGTGGCTGTTCATAAATCAGCTATACTCTAGTGCATGGCCTTACAAGCATGCATATAAAAGGAGCAAGATACAGTAGACCAAAAATAAATAAATAAATAAATAAATAAATAAATAAATAAATAAATAAATAAAATGTTTAGTGAGATATGGGGGGGATGGAGAAGTTAGGGAAAAGCATGAGGTTTTGTGTGAATATGCTCAAACATATTTTCTACATGTATGCAATTCTAAAAGCAAAATAAAAAAATAGTACTTTTAAAAATAATTAAGCTAGACAGTGGTGGCCCATTAGTCTCAGCACTTGAGAGGCAGAGGAATCTCTGTGAGTTCAAGGCCAGCCTGGTCTACAAAGTGAGTTTCCGGACAGCGAGAGCAGTTACCCAGAGAAGCCTTGTCTCCAAAAACAAAAACAAAATAATAATAATAATAATAATAAAATAAATGAATAAAATCATAACCAAATGGTTGCTGCGTGCTTTTAGAGATCAGGGTGGCATCTGTCTCCTTGCATCTTACTTTTCTACATTGTTCCTATTAAAACTCATGCCCTCAACCACATGCATTTCAGATTAGGACTCATTAAGACTACAAAGAAAAATCAATTAACAATCTAGCCTAAAAACTCACAAGTCATATTCATACAAAGTCATAAAAGCTTTGAGAATTATTTTTATGGCACCTATTAAATAAACATTGTCTACGTGTGCTCATACCTTTATATTGTAAACACAGTACCACATTTGCTTATAAGATAAGTGGGTCCCAACTGGAGAGATGGCTCAACAGTACTTCCTGCTCTTGCAGGGGACCTCAGTTCGAATCTCAGCACCTACATTATGTGACTATCTACTGCCTGTAACTCAGTACCTTCAGGAACTCCAACACCTCTGGCCTTGTATACATATTAAAAGACTAAAAAATATAATTTAAAATAGCTAGACAGAGAATAGTGAGTCCTCACATAAATTAAAACTCTAAAATTAGCCCAAAGTCCTTTTACTTTACAATGTACTTAAAATTTTGAAACAAGCCCTTATAAATTAAGCTTGGCCACCAGTCCTTATGATAGGCTAACCAGAGAAACAGCATCAACAAGGGCATAAGGTGTTCTTTTCTTTTTTAAAAGACTTCAGTTTTATTTCTAATGTGTGTGCATCTGCGTGTGGTGTGTGCACAGGTGCACGTGAGTGTAGTGTTCTCAGAGGCCAGAGAAGACTGTCCAGTCTCCCGGGACCCAGACTTTAAGCAATTGTGAGTCACCAGATATGTGTGCTACAAAAAGAACATGGGACCTCTGAAAGAGTAGTATGAGCTCTAAAACTCTCAGTTGTCTCTCCAGGCTTAAAAAACATGAATTTTTAAATTCAATGTGCCCATCTTGGGAGAACCTAAAAATGGGGGGTCTGATGTCCTCAGGTTCATGTTGTGGACTGGTGAGATCTTCACATTATAATAAAATTCAAACATAAGTCAAGAAATACACATATTTGTGTATTCTTGATGGGGTGGCATCTTTTTTGATCATTATCACATTGGTCCTCAGTGTTGATGCTATGAGATGGTCAAAACAAATCCTTATCATTAAAAAAAAATAAACTAGCTCTTATACGGCATGTTCCTCCAAACTGAAATGTTTCCCCTAAGCAGGTAAACAAAAAGTCACATATATCCAGAAAGAATAGGACCTTAGAAGACTGTTGAGGCCCCTCACCAGCAGTATAAAAGAGAGTAAGCAGCCTCTAGGGTAGAGCCTCTGTCCAGCCAAACTGCTGGAAGAGACCTTGGCACTGGGGCCGCATGGAAGCTGAGTAGAGGAGATCAAGGGTGGCAGGGCCAGGAGTCTTCACCCACGCTGGGATGGGCTTTCTACTGATGCAGCTGCTGTGGAGCTGTCTCTGCTCTTTGTAAACCCCCTCCATAATCCTGTTAGTAGCCTCAAAATAAACATGCATTGGTTCACCAACTGGACTCTGGTTCAATAATATTTGGACTATTCTGGGCTCTTTTTTGGGGTGAGTAGATATGCAAGTCTCCCCAGGAAAATTCTGTCACACAACAGCTCTAAGTACAATCTGGGGTGGTTCTGCAAGGCTGCACTACCGCTACAATCCACTGCAGTAGATTTAGCACATGGACGCCGTGCTTTCAATTTCCCAGAAGGAAGAAACCACAACAGTAACAAGACAAAGACATTAAATGCTATGTGCTTTTGTTGCTTTCCAAGTCAAAAGAAAAGGTGTTTTTTGTTTGTTTGTTTGTTTGTTTGTAAAGCTCAAGGACAAATTTATTAGAGCTTAAATGAAAAACCGCAAGGTAAGCAAGCTGTAAAATGTCAGTAGCTGCATGGAAGAGAGAAGGAAGAAAGGTCCTGTCACTATTCCAAATTGTCAAGGAGGTCCCCCACATGGTGGACAATCAGCTACATAGTGGAGATGAGGCTTTAGAGAACCAGGAAGCCAAAATATTAGAGGGAAAGCCCAAAGCATTAAAGAAAGCTTCCTTAGCAGAGTCAGCAAGAAAAGGGAGAAAATTACACTCCTCTGAACCATTCCGAAAAGTGGGTAGTCTTAAATGTTCCATGTCTGGGGTACATGAGCTACTGCAGTGTTTCTCAATCTGTGGACCTTTTGGGGGTCAAAGGACCCTTTCACAGGGGGTAGCATATCAGATATTTACATTACGGTTCCTAACAGTAGCAAAATCACAGTTCTGAAGTAGCATCAAAAATAATTTTATAATTGAGAGTCACCACAACATAAGGAACTGTATTAAAGGGTCACAGCATTAGGAAGGTTGAGAACCACTGAGCTACAGTCAAGGAGGATTCCTTTAACAAAGTTCCTAAGTGGAGAAAGAGAGAGGGGGGGG